AAACCAGCTCCAAAATTTTTATTCGCAGTAACCAATGAAATACTGCTAAGTTATTATCAAAACATCTGAATTTTAACCCACCGACTGTGTCTATGAAGCCTCTACTGATAAACTGACGCACTACTCAGGACATGAGATTTCCTGGCCAGTTCTCTAAGTAAACAAAGAAATAGCTAAGTAAATATGACTCTAAGGAATACTCTACGAACAAAAGCGGAGCTTACCAATAGCACAGGAAGTGAGGGAAGTCCTAACACGTAACCTGCTCGCCTGCAAAACCGGTTTCTATGTTGTACTGAAGACCAACGTAGGTTACTAAAAGAGAACGTCAGTACCATCCATTGTACTCAGAGAGTCTCAACGATAAGAGACGAACTTTAATACATATATTTTACGAGAAAAGATTCTAAATGCATGTAAAACATAAACCTTATCAGAACAATTCTAAAATAATTGCATAATAGCAGTATATGAATATTCTAGAAGAAATTCTTTTCTTTTTCTTTCTTGTAAAAAAAATTACTTCACTTTATACTTCGCGAGCTCCAACTATCATGACTTATTTCTATCTTAGTCACCGTGTGATCGGCACGGATTTGATCCAACCTGATCGAATAGGCCTAATCTACGAGGTGCCACTCGCTTCATGGTTCTTAGCGCTTATTTATCATACCTTAGCCTGGCTAAGTAAATTCTCAGCAACGAGACCCTCGGCTCGTGTGCTCCCTACTATGGCACAAGTAGTTTCAGTCAACGCCTTGGCCAGGACCCTCGGCCTAGACGATGACCCCTTCCCAGAATAGAGGATACTCCCAAAAATCTTATCTTTTTAAAACTTCTTCTTGTGACTTTTCAAGTCTAAATCTTGTTTGAAAGTGCTCTATCAGTATTCATAATAATATATTTGAGTGTATGGATAGCATAAGCATGAAATAAAATTACTCAAGGTATGTCTAAAAGTTCTATCTAACTCTTGAAACTTTAACATGTAAGATCATGTAATGAAGCATAAAAATATTAAGAACAGACGATTATACTTCTCAAGTAAAATATATAAGCTTCAACTAGAATATACTTATTCAACATGTATTCACTCGTTCCACTTAAGCACATGTTGACTCTTTAAAGCATTTTATCAAACACTTTGTGGGCATGTTTTTATGAGCAGAACCACTTTAGTAAAGGGTTATATCCACTCACCTCAATTTCTCCTTTCAAGCAACAATGTGAGTTCCAATCCTTGTAATCAACTCAATGACCGAATACTACAACAATAAGTTACAATAAGTATCCAACTTTCCCAAGGTATTAATCTTTTCTCAACTCTAAGAACTTTAGATTCAACTTCTAAATTTCTAAAGTTTTGGGGTGATGTCTTGTTATAACAATTTTTTACTACCTCTAACAACTTTAACCCATAATAGCAATCCAATAAAAGTGAAGAATTTATCTTGTAACACCAAAAACCTAACTCGTACTTGATGGGTGTTCTTGAGGTTTTGTAAAACTTTCCGATGAATTCACCCCACTAGGGTGTTAGATTCTAGTGTATAATGATGTTATAGCTTACAATTCTATAAAAAAAAATTACCTCAGTCGTGGCCTAAAGAAGGTCCTGCGTGACTACTTCGATGGGAGAAGCAAGAGAAGTAACGCGCCTCTGTTTGTTATAGGCTTTAAGCCTTTTTCTTTGCCTCTGCTAANCTTGTTTGCGTAGGAAGGTCTTTAACGTCCTTTGTCGTTTTAGAAGTGCTTCGTTGGGTCTACGGCCTTACGTAACCTTTTCTTACAACACGCCTAGTTTTGGGCTTTAGGTTAATTTCTTTTTTTTTTTTTGACTTAACTAATAATTAATGTTACCCACATTTTAATAATTAATAATATTAAAAATTATTAATATTTCTCCTAATTGTATGTCCAATTATTTATAAATAGAAAAGTAACTCAAAATCAATCACAAGGGTTTAAATCCGTAATAGAAGTATAATTTAAGATTATAAAAGTTAATTCTATATTTAGCGTGTCTTAAAACTTTTATAGATTTGAGGAGTGTTACATTTTTTCCATTTCGTTAAGTTTTTGATGGAATTATGCCTACTCTAAGTTAAGGTTAATAGGTGCTTAAGCACCCAAAATTTGTATATAAATCCGCCCCTGATGCTATTGAGCGAGGAATACCCCTCGTCTCATCTAAGACGGCTAAATGCATCTTAAAATGTCACGAGTTTAAATTTTTATAATATCTTGAACATTATTACCTAATTGGAATTTCGAGTTTAAATCTTAATTATCTCTTGACCACTATTACCTAATTGGGTCATCCTTGTTCACTACGTTAACAGTAAAATTGATTTTTTATAAGATTTAGACATAATGTTAAAAACACACATTTTATATATCTAGCAAAAAAATTTTTTTCCAGTACTCCTTATTGTTTATTAAGCAAACAACACATACTGATACATTTGGTAGCTATTATTGCCACATTCTTTTCTTGAAAGAGGATTTTTCAAAAAATTTCGAAATTCTTTAAATATGAATAATATTATGGTTTTCAATACTTCTTAAATTTCTACTATAAACGAAGTGTTCAATCTCACACAAGAAATCGAATATTTTGATCCTTGCACTCTAACTCCTATCATTCTTTTCGAAATATAGTATTCCTGTGTCTTTATTTTAAATATATAGTAATCCTATTGTACAAAGCTCCCTGCTAGGATGCATTAGAGAAAATAAGGCATGTATTACCTTTTGGTATTATTAATCCATTGTTTGGTATACTTTTTCAACTATGTATTATTAATGCAAGTATTCTATGTATAATTGATACATAGCAAATCATGGTATTAGCAATACCAAGGCTAGTAACGCATGCATTAGCATAGTTAAAAATAAAATTGTCCTTAAAGTCCCTTAAAGCTAAAGAATATGGAGGGCATTTTTGTAACCAACTAATTTTCTTACAAATTATGCAATGCATTTTAATTTTTAATACACCACACCAATAGTGGATAAGAAATAATTTCTGCAGAACTAATGCTTGCATTACTAATCCATGCAGCATTAATACACCTTATTCAGCATTATTCTTATACACCACCGACCAAAAATGTATAAGCTCAGCAATACTAGTATACCACACATCTAAGTCCTAGCCCAAAACCTATCAAAGAGGTAATAACACTAAATTAGGTTGGTCCAATCTTGGCCTAAGTTCGGTAATCCTCTAAAAACCCAATATATCAATTTTTTCAGCATTCTATTTTTTTTCAACTGAATTAATATTTAATATTTAGTTTAATTTACATGTTTGCAGTGAAATAAACATTAAATCAGTTGTAAAACATCAGTTTCATAAATCTGAAAACACTACGTATAAGTTTAGAAGGTGAATATTTAAATAAGTTCTTACATTTAAAAGTTACAAACATCAAAATACTATTATTAATGAAATAATATCAAACATTTTGACACGTATAAAACGTTGTACGAATAGCAAAAGAGAAAGCAAAAACAAAATAACATATTGTGGGCTGGGCTTAGAGGACAACCTAATAGCCCACAATGATTTAAACCGAGAGTGCTTACGTGGCTTGTTAGATATGGCCAACATTCAAATATACAGCAGCCAAACTTTCCGGTGACTTAAAGGAATCCCATTTTTTGACTCATAATAAAATCCTACATAATTAATTACATCGCTTCTTTTAACTGACATTTTCCTCCATTTCTCCAATCCATTCCGCCGCCATATTGCGGTTCCATAAAATTAGTGATCGAATGTCAAATTTTAATAAGAGATCATATACTTTTTTATTAGTATGTATACACATATATATTTTAAAAAATTAATTTTGCTTTTTTTTTTTATCATACTTACTGTTTATAGTATATATTCTTAAATGACATAAAATCTTTAACTTCTTATAGTAATATTATTATTATATTAGAAAAAAATAATTTAAATAAATAAAATGTCAGACATGTATTTGCAATATGTTACTTTTGATATTCTTGTAATTACTAATATAAAAATTTAAGTAATTTAATTCAAAGTATTAAAAATAATTTTATTATTAAAGAGTAGAAAAATTTGTTTCTTTTTCATAAATTTTTATATTTTTTATTTTTTCTACAAACATTAATATTGTCTAATTTGAAATAAAATTATAAAATCCATTATTAAAAAATTTGGGGGACCAAAATCAAGGCTTTACTAGTCTCCTACTAGAGTCATTTGTCCACCCGTGACATTCTCAATCAAATTTATAGAGTATCACTTAAGATAAGGCAACAATGACAAGAACATTAATGGCAGCGAGTGTGTCATTCAATTACCAAATGTGAGTGAAGCTGGTTGAACAATACGTTCATGGTAGTGCAGTAGTCTGTAAATAATTGTTGATTGTCAATAAGGGACGGCTCAACAAAACTGGTGGCCTAAAATCAAAATATATTAAATAGACCGTGAAACTTCTTTTATAAAGTTCATATAATATTGAGACACAAAAAAAACATATATGACTTTGATCTAGTGGTGAGAGTGCAATTCATGATATGTGAGTTATGCACACGTCATATGGTATTGAATCCTTCGCTTAAGTAAAAATGATATAGGGTGAGCCTATTATCCATCGTGTTTCGAATCTTGCGTCATTGGTCTCGGGAATTTCTTTTTTATAAAAGATGAGACACAAAAGAACTTGCTTTCTGGTGGTGGATCAATCAAATGTGATTAAAAGAATAGTTAATTTAGAGAATTTGAGTTAAAATTAAAAAGTAAAATCGTGAGAACCATGAAAAAGGACTATACATAAAGAAATAAAAATAAAGTTGATGAGAAAATAACTATATATTACTTAATTTAACGAGAAAATCCAATTAACTCACTTAATCTTACGCCTACCAAATATTAAAAATTATTAAAATTTGATTTTATAAATAACTATATAAATATAAATTATGAAATATATATTATTTTGGGGGCCTTAAATATTTGGGCGCTAAAGCAAGGGCTTCACTTGCCTTAACCTTGACCCGCCCTTGAGTCCGCCGCCGCTTCCCGCAAAAATGAACACTCCAGCACTTTCTGTCCGCCACAACCATTTCCTCCACCGCGGCGCCACCGCCATTCCACGACCACGCTCCATCACCACCTCCACCTCCCCTTTCCGCGTCCGCATGTCTCTCCAAGAGAACGGCCCATCCGTTGCCGTCGTCGGCGTCACCGGCGCGGTCGGTCAAGAGTTTCTCTCCGTTCTCTCCGACCGTGATTTCCCTTACCGTTCACTCAAACTCCTCGCAAGCAAAAGATCAGCTGGTAAATCAATGAAATTCGAAGACAGAGATTATACAGTTGAAGAGCTCACGGAGGATAGTTTTGAAGGGATAGATATAGCATTGTTCAGTGCTGGCGGTTCTATTAGTAAGAAATTTGGACCGTTAGCGGCTCAAAAGGGGACTATAGTGGTGGATAATAGCTCGGCGTTTCGAATGGATGAGAACGTGCCTCTCGTGATACCCGAAGTGAATCCTGAAGCAATGGCGCATGTGAAGCTAGGTTCTGGAAAAGGAGCGATTATTGCTAATCCCAATTGCTCTACTATTATTTGCTTGATGGCTGTTACTCCTCTTCATCGTCGTGCTAAGGTGACAGTTTGATCTATCATGTTCTTTTTCCTGGTATGTTTAAAGATGGTAAGTTGCTTGTTTGACTGAATACGGAGTTTTAGATACACAAAAAGAAAGACTAAGGCTTGTGATTTAAAATAAGCTATAAACATTTATATGGTTATGAATCATATCGTTCAGGGTAAAATATGAAGTTTAAAACTAAATTATTTCTAAATATTGAAAGGTCCGTTCTTTTTGGGATGAACTAAAAAGGAAAGTGTACCATATAAAATGGGGCAGAGGGAATGGTGGAAATGTTGAGAACATCTTGTTTAGATAACTGTTAATATGAGAATTAGATGTTTCATGTACTTTTGTTGTTTAGAGATTTGTATGATTACTGCTAATATGAGAATTAGATGTTTCATGTACTTTTGTTGTTTAGAGATTTGTATGTTAGTAGAAATTTTGGAGAACGTCTGGTTTAAAATTGTTAATTTGAGGTAGATAGGTTAGTAGAAATTGTGGAGACTGTCTAGTTTAGAATACGGTTAATTTAGGAATTACATCATTGGTGTATTTTAGTTTGTGTAGATATTTATTTGGCATGTCTGGAAAATATGTATAGAATTTTTAGTTTAGAGTACAGTAATTTATGTATTAGATCTTTCATGTCCTTTTAGAGTTTGATTCGACATGCAATTTTTCGTTTACGATTTATATATGAACAATGTCTTTCTTGTGGTAATTGTTACTTTCTTTGTTTCAATATACGTGACGTAGTTTGAGTTGACTTGGAGTTTTGAAAAAAAATGAAAACTTTCGAACTTGTGGCCTGAAGCATGCCATAATATTTGTGTGGCTAAGACATTTCAAATTTGTGGTCTAAAACATTTCATAACATTTGTCTAGCTTATAGAAGTTCTCATTAAGAGTAAAATGGGTACAATGAAAATTTTAAAGTTATATTATTTTTAAATACATAAATGCACCCTTCTTTTGGAACAAACTAATAAGAAAAGCGTGTCATATAAATTGGAACCGAGGGAGAACTTCCTTTTACTACATTCAACCCCAAAATTTGGGGTCTCCGTATACATCCTGCTCTATTTGGAAGTGTATTTAGTGAATTCATCATTATTATATTATTTTTATCTGGCATATGAACCGGTTGTTACTTGCAAACTGACATATACATAGTGCTCTTCTATTTCTTATAAAAAAAATAAAAACAACAATAGCAACACATTTAAAAAAAAAATCAAATAATAGTGCCAGTGCGCATATAGATGATCAAAAAGTTTAGGCTCTGGCTTTTTCCTATGGAGATAGAAGTTTTTTTTTTTTTTGATGAAGTGGATATTGGAGGTGGCTGATTGTTAGGATTGCTATAATAGCTTGTTTTGATTGTCTGGTTTAAGAGCAATTAATTTGAGGCTAGATATATTGGTAGAAAGTTTAGCGGATGTCTAGTTTAGACCACGGTTAATTAGAGAATAGATCATTGGTGTCCTTTAGGGCTCGTTTGGTACGAGGGATAAGGGATAATTAATCCCGGAATTAAATTTGAGATGAGTTTATCACATTTGGTTGGGATAAAATCGTGGTATAACTAATCCCGGGATTGTAGTACTTTTTTATCCCCAAGGGATGGTGGTGGAATAACTAATCCCATGATAATTAATCATGTGATAACTTGCTTCCCAACCAAACGACCCCTTAATTTGTTTAGAGGTTTGTTTGGCATCTCAGTAGAAAATGTAGAGAATAATTTGAGAATTAGATCTTTCATGTCCTTTTAGTTCTCGCTTAGATATTTGTATGTCAGTATAAAATCTGACAAACGTTAATTCGAAAATCTTTCTCTTACACATGCATCTTCGTGGTAGTTCTTAGACCAACAGTTAATAGTCTAAGAACCGAGTTTAAGAACCGAGTTTAAGAACCGACTCAGTTCAGTTTTATTCATCCTATGTAGATATGCATATTGTCAGGTCAAACGCATGGTTGTTAGTACATATCAGGCAGCTAGTGGTGCTGGTGCTGCTGCAATGGAAGAGCTAGTTCAGCAGACTCGTGAGGTTTTTATTATGCTTCCTCTATCTTCCATGGCTTAATATATCTAGTGATTTTAGGTTACCAATTAAAAATCTCATGATTTGATTGATGTTGCCTTGTACACATTAGGTCCTGGAGGGCAAAGAACCAACTTGCAATATCTTTAATCAGCAGGTCTCGCTTGTGATTTCCCTTCTCAATGCTCAATTGTTTCTTAAATAACAAATGAATGCAGTGACATCTAATTGCTTCTTTTACAAAATTGTGCAGTATGCTTTTAATCTTTTCTCACATAACGCACCTGTTCAACCCAATGGATATAACGAAGAGGAAATGAAGCTGGTCAAAGAAACAAGAAAAATATGGGTAAGTATACTTATTATAAGACCTTGGTATTCAACGATCATGTTTGGTCCTAGAGACTAAAATAAAATAATTGGCCATTTACTGTATTGACGCATTCATTCTGCTTGTTACCAGAATGACATGGATGTCAAGGTTACTGCAACATGTATACGTGTTCCTGTTATGCGTGCACATGCTGAGAGCGTGAATCTTCAATTTGAGAAGCCCCTTGATGAGGTAGCCTTTGCTAAACTGCAGCAAAATCTGTTATTTATCTTCCTGTCTTGACAAATGGTTCTTTTGCGTTTCAAATGAACCTTTTCTTTTTCTTCATTATCTTTTAGGCATTGAACTTGTGTTTATTTGATACTAAAATGCATAAAAGCTGTTACAATCTAGGTTTACTTGCCGAAAAGTGCAAGTTCGTGTGGAGCACTGCGAAGGAGAATGTACCATCAATTAGTAATGACATAAAGAATAAAAAAAGGTTGCTCTAATGATCATATCTTAACAGTTCCATTCAGTACATTATATTTAGTTGTGTGCTGAAGTGGCATGGAACTGCAGTGATATATGAAGTCCTTGCGTAATAGTTACCACAAATTGGAAATTTGTCTCCTTGAAATTTATTAAATTTTGAGCTTATTGGCTAGAATATCTATTTGATGAGTTCAACTCACCTGAAAGAATGGTGCAATGAGATAGCTAAGTACTACATAACAATAAATTTTAGCTTTTCTATAATCTTGTGTTAAAATGAAATTAATCATGTGAACTATGTCTGGTCAGCAAATTCTGCCAATTTTCTGTTACTAGTCATCGTGGGAAAGAAAGATAAAAATAAGGAAGAGATTATTTCTCCTTTTTGATTAGTATTGGTGGATCAACTGGAGATGTTTGTGTGCGAGTACTTTAAATATGTTCTTTGTGATCCATGGAGTGAAGAGATCCTTTTTGTAATTATTCTCTTACTTTCTCTTTACCTCAGGATAAATTACTTGAAGCTTTTCTTGAACTGTGCAGGATACTGCAAGGGATATCCTTAAAAATGCACCAGGTATAATTATCATTGATGATCGTGCTAGTAATCGATTTCCAACCCCACTTGAAGTTTCCAACAAGGATGATGTTGCAGTTGGGCGAGTACGCCGTGATGTTTCCCAAGATGGAGATTATGGGTAAGAATTGGTTTATAGGCAAGTGTTTTCTCTACTTACTTTGCAGGACCTCCGGACTAATGACTTCTTTTATACAGGCTGGACATCTTTGTTTGTGGTGATCAAATACGCAAGGGAGCCGCCCTTAATGCCGTCCAGATTGCAGAGATGCTGTTGTAGTTTTGCGAATATAGCTTCATAAAAAAAAGGGTTTTGCGATACAGCGCCCAAAGGTTCTATTTTTGCTTGAATGTGAGAGACGTAGAACCTGAGGAAGATAGAGGTGGTCGTGTTTTCCTCTAACAGTTACATTTTGCTCATTGGGGTTTGGCAATCTTCATTCTAGTTTGAGGAGAAATTTTGCTTCAGACTCTCGTTTCTGCGAAACTTTTGTTATTTATAATAATTGTGTTGGCTGAGCTAATGAGTTGCCCTTAGATGGCTAAGCGAGTCTTCCATATTTTACTTCTTGGTTTTCCAGTATTCTCCCTTTGCGCAATCGGCCCTGGTTGATAATAACCATGTCTTTTTTCACGAGAGTTGAGTGAAGTTGTATCTAAAACCAAGTTCATTGCTTGAGCTGCAAGTTGCTTTAAGAATACTGTAGTTAATGCAATCATGCAGCCAGTTATAACATTTCATGTTCTCTGATCAAGCAAATCAGAGTTGATTATGTGTTAAAACACCTATCACTTGGGAATCACATTCAACTTATATTATGCAAAAGCAAAACAATCTTGGTTTGACATCGAAGGGACGTTCATTTTGGACCAGAAGAGATACTAACATTGACACCAGGAAAAGGGTTGATAATTGACATTGTCTTAAAACCACAGTGGCATCTGTAATTTTTCTTTTACCAAACCTCAGGGGAGGAGAGGTGAAAAACACAATTCCAATTAGTTCTTGTGGAAACAGCAATTCTAGACATAGGACCTGGGATGTTTTTAGTTTTGTCCCTTACGCTTCAGAGCAACAAGTAGCAGAAGTTTACTGTAACTTGCATCAAGTTTTGAATAAAACCCTTCATTCTGGTCAATTCTTTCAAACAGTTGATCAACTACACTGCTGCCAAAATGATCTGCTATAAGGCACTCAAAAGCTGCTCTAAGATGATCATTATTCTCTTTGGCATTAATTGGCTGATTCTTAAAAACAAATGGATCTGGTGTCTTCATCATCTCAATGCTGAAGCAGCCATTTCTTTCAACCAGCTTTACCATCTCATCTGGAGTTGTGATGTAATAAGGCAAGTTGAAGGAGTCCACTTGAGCTTCACTGATTATTCCCTATAACCGCAAAATTTGTTTTTTTTTCAAACTGTATATAAATTTCGTTCATCCAGCTAACAAACTAACCACAGTCAACTATCAATCCATTAAAATGCACACATTTTATTTTTACTATAATTGTATATTATGGTACTGTAATATATATATATATATATATATATATATATATATATATATATATATATATATATATATATATTTCTCTAAGCAAGGAAGCTGAACAAAAACAACCTCATTTAGCATAAATATGGTAGTCACATAATTCTGCAGTTAATAATATATACTGCTTCAGATTTGTGGGAGACCATTAGTAGAGGAATCAAAAGGTCATATTTTACTTAAGTGAATGTTAGATGACTCGGTCGAGTAGTACAAGAAGTAGTATCAAATATTGATGAAGGATTAAAATCACAATTTTCCATGTTCCTTTGCTAGAAAAAGAGAGAAGTAAGGAACTCACATCATTAGCCATATCCATGAGAACAGAGCCAATGGCATCAAAAGTAAAACCAATCGCGTTTGTCTTCGAACGATGAAATCCTTGAGGAATAGCTGGTATGACAGGTAACAGTAACCCTCCAACAACAATCTCTTTAGCTCTGGCATTCAGGAAGTTATTGACATCCTTAGCAAACTGAGCTGCATAAGCGTCAGCTACTTCATCTGATGAAGTTGAATAGAAAATCTTTCCTCTATTCCATGCTGGAGACTCCTTGTTTTCTACTTCTATTGGCACTTGTGATAGCCAGCAAAGTGCATAAGAGGCATTCATAATGTCAATGGAGGATTCGGGGAATAACCGGCTGTGGAATGAAATCGTTTGTGGCAAGATCATTGAAGAATACTTGGAATTCAGTAGTAGAGAGGCCTTTTAGTGCACACTTTTTTGCACTGCTTCTATTATATTTTGTACTGCAATGTAGGTGTTGGGACCAATTGAACAGCCTAAGTCTGCAATTCTAATTGTGTTTGATGTGTTGGAGATATCGAATAACTTGCTTATTGCCTCCTTCACTGCTTCTTTTGTAACCATCAGACCTTATCTCTACAAACAATCATAGGTATGTAGGACTTTCAATTTATAATTAGTTATTTCAAAGAAAAAGGAATAATCTATAGGCAGTTGAACAAATTCGTAGTAAGTATCACATAATCAAGAAAATAGTTATTCTAAACTACCTGATAAGTGGAGTTTTTGGAGTAGCTGTATGTGCCATCTCCACCATTCATTGGCAATGGTTTCAGTAAAGAAGATGCTTTGCTATCAGCCATCTTTTACTATCTCTATCTCTGTTGAAGTTGGGAATTCTAGTGGTAATGAGAATAGGACGTGGGGTGCTTTTTAAGGTTGCTGGAACCTGGGTGACAGATGAATGAATATTCAGTAAATGTAGCCTTTTTATACATTTGATTTGAATGAATGGACTACTGTACCAATTAGGGGTGGCAAATGGGCGGGTTGGATCGGATATTGGACGGGTCGACAACGGGTAATGAAAACACGGATAAATTATTCGATCTAACCCATATTTAATACGGATAAAAAACGGGTTAACCGGCGGATAATATGGATAATCATATTATCTATAGCTTCATGAATATGATCACTTTTGAGAAAATTCCTAGTCTTCCAAACTTGAGCAACCCTCAATTTGAGGTTTTGCAAATGTAAAAGTTAAACCCATTAGTTATCTATTGGTTATATATTTTCTAAATGGATAATATGGTTATTATCCATATTTGACCCGTATTTAAAAAGTTCATTATCCAACCCATTTTTAGTGGATAATATGGGTGGTTAACTGTTTTCTTTTAACCATTTTGCCACCCCTAGTACCGATATAAAATTTTTAATCTCACACACAACCTGATGTAAGAAATTATTACTCTTATTGTTTTTAATAATATGGATCAAGACGGGCTTAAATGGAGCGATATAGACAACGAGAATTTATGTAGCCAACTTAGGATTGAAACATTATTGTTATTGTTGTTGTTGATTTGTTGTAGTACCTGATGTAGACGCAATGTGAGGTTAGTGACCATTTTTACTCTCAACATATTCGAATAAGCAACAAAATAAATACTAATTGAGAGCGACAAGGGCTGTTGTGAGATAGTTTAATCAAATCGAGTCTTAGAAATAAAAAAGTTTTCGATAGGATGTGCCTTATAGCCCCTTGATGATTTTAAGGCGTGAAGCCCAAGGTTAAATAGTTAATCATGCTCCCACGAAGTTAACCACCAACGATGTCAAAGATTTGCAGATACTACTAGTAAGTTTGACAAATCAAATGCTGGTATTGGCTCATTTCTTATTTCGTATTGACTGCTACGCTCTTCATTGCACGTTACCAGGAAACTAAGCCTGCACTAATACAGCCTTGTTTAATTTGCTTATTATTATAGTATTATATTTGCAGAAACCTTCTTGAGATTCACACTTGCTACATTTTTCTAACTCTTAATCCCTCAATTATTGTTCCGAGGTCAGAACCATGATATATATAGACCAGAAATCCATGTGAAAATTAGTACTTCCTCCTGTCCAAAATAAGTGATTTTTTGGATGTTTTCACACAGATTAAGAAATCCATCTTTTAGTATTAATTAGCAATGAAATTGACCATATTAACCTTTACTATCTCACATAAACACTCCTAACACATACTCCAACACTATTTACTCCAAGGGCAATGTAGGAGAAAAATAATTAATTCATTCTTGAAATCTGGAAAAATCACTTATTTTGGACCACAAAAAAAAAAGGCCAAAAAATCACTTATTTTGGACCGGAGGGAGTAGACTTTTGGACATAAGAATGGTAAAATTTCAAAAATGGTAAAAAAAAAAGAATTTCAAGTGAAAACGGTATTTGAAATTTAGAGTTGTATTTGGACATAAATTTCAGTTTGGGTTGTTTTTGAAGTTTTGTGAATGATTTGAGTTAAAATTTTAAAAAACAGCCTTTTGGAGTTTTTCAAATTCTCGAAAATTTCCAAAATGCATCTTAAAGTGAAAACTAAAATTTTTATGAACAACTGATTTTTAAAAAAAAGTAAAATTTTTTTTATGTCCAAACGGTAATGTTTGGCTCCATTATTAATTGGGACGGAAAGGGCAAAAGGAAAAAGGATATTGACACACTATATACTAATTGACAAGATAAATACTTGCCCGCATATGTACTTAATTGTTTGTTAATTCAATTAGTTAATATGTTGTTTAATTCGAAAAATGTGAGTAACAATTAAAGATGATTTGTAGTTTTAAAGATATGTGATTTATTCTAATACTAGTGAATATACAAGTATTATTAGGTTTAAGTAAGAAGAATTGATGAACCAAACCAGTTTGTTAGAGCAACGGGGACCTCGAGCTCGATTATCTCGGGGGCATCGAGGTGAGTTAAGAGCAAATAAAGTATGAACAATAAAGTAAAGACAATAAAGCTGAAGAACAATTGTGGAGCACGGTAGACGAGAAAAGCAGAGTAGAATATTCTATTGCAGTGAATCAGGTAATTTTTACAAAGATTGGGGTCCCCTTTATATAGAAGGGGAAAACCCTAATATAGTACATTTCCAATTATGACAAAGAATTCTATTGGTACAGCTGTATAACAACCTAGTACGGACTTGTACCATTTCGTACAAATCTTATCCCTTAATTTATACCCTGATCCTCATAGCCTTGAGAAATTCCCGCTCTTTCTTGAGTGTCATCGAAAGTGTACTGCCCCCGAGGCAGATCATGGCGGGTCTTCGATTAGCTCCCCCGAGGTCTGCATTTTCCAATCAAATCTGGTCATTACTTCATGCTACCCCGAACTCAAGCCCCGGGTTCCATTCAGACCTCGAAATCGAGCTCTCCGATTTCGGCCGTATACAGATAGTCTCCGCGTTTCTTAGAATGAAATGATATGAAACGTTTTGAATTCTCGAAGTCCTTTATGATGGCATCACTCTTATGACGTAAGCGCTGAAATGACCGAAGCGTCCCGTCGGTTCTCTTCCCCAAAAGCATTAAATACGCGTCAGAGCTAGTCGGCCATTAATATTAATGAACCGTCGCCGCCTTCCTCTATATATACTCGTTTTCTCTTCTCATTAAGGACTTTTCCATCTTGCAACACCTATTCTCTTCTGTACGTTTCCTTTTCTACTTCCAGTTCCTCCGCCGCATCGGTTCAAAACCTCACCGGCTTATTCATTTGTATCTTCTTCTTCTAAAGAACCGATGGCAAAAACTTCCAAATCCGTTCCTCAGACAGAGGGAAACCCCATTTCCACTTCCCGTCCGGCCGTTGGTAAGTCGCCGGCGCTTCACGAGCTCGTACCGGGCAGATTTTCCTTACAAAAGGACTTTATAGTCGAGAAGCCTCCCAACGTCCCCGGTCGTCGAGAGCATGCATCGAGTTACATAAGGTCAATTGAAAAAAGACACCTCGATGCTGTGAGGAGAGAGTGTAATTGGGAAGAGAAGGTTGTACTGCAAATACCTTCTCGTGGGGAAGACATCACAACTTACGTAGAGGGGTTCCTGAGTGTATATACATACCCCTTTACGTTGGGTCCCCTTGACCCGCTCGTGCTTGAATTTTGCCGAAGATATCAAGTGACCCTGGGCCAGATTCATCCGTCTTTTTGGCACATCATAATAATGATGAGGTTCTTCGCCGAAAAAGCCGGGCTCGAGTTTACCCTCAGCCACCTCATCCGATTATATCGGCCTCAACATTTTCGAGGTTTAATCAAACTTCAACGCCGATCGACCAAGTCCTTCTTTGCCAGTAACGATGAAGGCAAGTATCGAGGTTGGATGAGCCGATTCATCCGAGTGAGGACCGTCGATATTATTCCCGAGGAGTTCTTGTTGTTCCCCGAGGAATGGAATTTCGAACGTGAGTGGAATTCTTTTAGTTCTTTTCCATAGATTTTTGCTAAACATCGCGTACTTACTCCTTTCCCTTCTCTGCAGCGGTTCCGTGGATGCCTAATGCGATCCTCGACCTTGAGGACTGGGTTCGCAAACTAGCTGCTACTTCACCATACGACAAACGGAAATGGCGGGACTTGTCGAAGGGCAAGTGGGAAGCAAAACACCACGGTACGTGTCATAATGTTTCTTTCTTTATTAAGAATGTCTTTCTTCATGTGACCCGATTCCTTTATCGCAGGTATTGGTGAGTTCTTCGAAATGAGGCCGCCCTTTCCAGGGAAGAAGTAGGACCTTCGGCTCCAAAGCCAAAGGAGGATAACAAGAGAAAAAGGTCCTCGAAGAGAGAGGAAACTCAACACCAAGCAGGGCCCGCTCGGAAGCGTAAGAAAAACGTCGTTATCAATGTGGATGTTGACTCGGCCTACCAGTTCACGAATGATGACGGCGACGAGATGGAGGGCTCGACACTGGTGACTCGACCAGAAAATCTTGAGGCTGTCAAGCCTGCTGAGATCGGGGCCCCTAGCCTCGAAGAAGGAACTTTAAAAGAAAAGGGGGATGAAGGCCCCGCATCATCTGACGTGGCAACTGCTTCTCAGACTTCTGGAAATGCTCCAAAGGGAGCGAGCTTCGAAGCTCCTCTGCCTGAACAGAGCGCCTCGGGTGATCTCTCTGAGGCCATGACAACAGGTCTGCCTTCGTCGTTTCCGGTATTTTCCGAGGGTACCATCAGGGATGCTCAGAACGTGAAGGCGTCCGAGCTCGGCGGAATCCCGAGTAAAAACGACCCCTTCCAGGGTTACTTTGTCGGGGTTGATGAGGTCGATCCTGCGGATGCGAGCTCAATCTTTGAAGAGGCTCAACGTCTTTGCTTAATTGTAAGTTTTTAGTGGCACTTATTTCTCCAATGCCATACCTTTCTTCCTTTGTCTAATTGATCGTTCTTTTCCTTTGTGTAGGCCTTCGACAAATTGAAGACCGAACTGCATCACTGT